GAAATGGGTCTAAACAAGAGGGGGACCAAAGATCACAATAGAGGTTTGTAGAATTTTAAATCATTTCAGATCCCAGTTAGAGTGTAGTGATCTGCCCATCTCGCTGCCTGAAAAAGAATAGGATGAATCTTTTCCTCAGATGACAGTATCATCTGTCAGCCTCAACATTTAAAAAATAAAATGCTTACTATTCATTTAAAAATTATAAAAAGGAAGAGAAACAGACAATAGATCAAAGGTGATTGAGATAATAGAGTGACTAGACCAGCCGTGGGCAAACTACGGCCCGCGGGCCGGATCCAGCCCGTTTGAAATGAATAAAACTAAAAAAAAAAAAAGACCGTACCCTTTTATGTAATGATGTTTACTTTGAATTTATATTAGTTCACACAAACACTCCATCCATGCTTTTGTTCCGGCCCTCCGGTCCAGTTTAAGAACCCATTGTGGCCCTCGAGCCCTGAGTTTCGTGGCCGTGTGGGATTTCTTGTGGACGGCGTTTAGAATTAGGCGGGAGGACACCGCTGTCTAGCGAGCGGCGGCATCAGTCCTTTTACAAGCTCCGGGTGTCGGTGCGCGCGCGCGTGCGCGCTCTGGTTGGGGTGTGAGTTTTTTATTGTTATTTAGTCTGCGCTCAGGGGAGCTCTGACTCTGAAACCAGACTGCCGAAATTTGAATCCTGTTTCCTGCCAGTACCAGGTGGGCGGGCAAGTTACTTCACCTCTTTGTGCCTCTGTTTCCCTAACGGTTAAATGAGCTACTAACAGAATCTGCCTGTTGGAAGAATTATAATAAAATATCGTATAATAGACATTGGGGGTGTGGGGTGCATTTACAACGTGGCAGGCACATAGTAAGGCTTATATGAGTTCTAGCTTTTTCTTTTTCTTTTTTTCCCCTCCAGAGGGACTATAAATTTTCCCCGTCCAGTAGCATTTGCGGTATGGTCATCTCTGCCTGAGACGGGGTCGCAGGGAATTTCAGTAGGCTAGGGGTCTGGAAATGCCACTTGTCTGTGGAAAGTACCATATCTATTTTAAAAAACAGAACATCCAAGAGCCTCAGAAATTGAATCCAGCACGTCACAATTTGCTGAAGTTCAGGCAAAGTGTGTAAAGGAGTGCATCCTCTATCATTATTTCAGATTCTTCCGCCTTTGCCCAGCTGTTTACCCCTGCTAAAAACTCTCCATTTCTCCCCTCTGTGTGGGCTAACTTTTCCTCCAAGATCAGTTCACATCCCTCCTCTGAACTTCAGTTAACTAACAGCATGAATGTCTGATTCTTACCAAATGCTATTTGTATGGTTATTTACCTAGGTATGTACACATATGCCTTTGTGCATAGGTGTTTACGTGTATCTCTTCTCTCCAATTGCATTACAAAAGCTCCCTGGAGGCAGGGACTGTTTTAATACTCTTTCAGTATTACTGTTCTCAGGACAATACCTTGCAAGCATTCAACTGATGATTACTAGAGAGAGACTCAAGAAAATGTAGGGTTGTGTTTTTTTAAAGAAAAATATGTTTTTATTGATTTGAGAGAGAGAGAAAGATAAGGGGGAGAGAGAGAAAAATTGATGAGAGAGAAACACCTATCGGTTGCCTCCTGCACGCCCCCTACTGGGGATCGAACCTGCAACCTGGGCATGTGCCCTCACTGGAAATTGAACCAGCAACCTCTTGGTGCATGGGACCACTCTCAACCAACTGAGCCACACCAGCCTTTTTATTCATGTGCTTTCTAACTAACTTAGTAGTACCCTTTTAATCCCTGAGATAAATAGAATCAAGTTGACATTTACCAAAAAACAAGAATTCCCTTGCCATTCCTCAACCACCTCCCTATGGCTGCCCCTCACAGGCATAAGAGGAACTATAATTACAACCGTGATCATAATTAACAAGACCGTATGTTAGAACTAAAAATGGAATTATGTTCAGGTGTTCATCAGCTTTGAAAACAAAATCCATTTTATTCAGGTCACCTATGCTCTATGTTGTATGCCAAGCACTGTACTTGATAATACAGGAACTAAATTTTTCTCCCAAATTTTAGTGAGGCACTAGAAAATAATGACTGGTCCTGATGGCCAAATGCCACTCAGCCATGTCCTCTGTCATTCATTGTCTCATTCTATTCATTTCTAGGCAAGCTTCTTGCTTTCTAGTTCTGAGTCAGATTCCTTCTGGCTGGGTGGAGTCTATTATTGTGGCCTATGTTATATCACACATGGACAACTATATTTATATAGTTGGGGGGGAAGCTGAAACATGTTTTTGCACACTACTAATAAATCTTGTTAAAGCAGACAGACAAGTTGCTATTTCTCCAAAACTGCCCACCTTGCCACCCCTCTCCTCACCAAATGCCACTTAGAGCTGGCTCATTAGTCCAAAGCAAACCATTTGCCATAACAGCTTGTACATCTCCATGAAAAAGTGTTCCCAACAAGTTTAAATATTAAAATTAATGTATTCAAGTGGCTCTGCCAATAAAATGGTCACAAATAGGAAAAAAGGTTATGCTTTCCACAGTATCCATTACACATTAATAAATAATGCTGTTCATTCACACGCCAATTAAAACAAACTCAGGCTGTCAAATGAAGTAGAAGCGAGGAGCTCAATGCTCTAATTGTTTTTCCAGGAAAACTCCCAATGTCGTCAGATTGAGTGTGACTGGTTGGGTTGCCCCTGTTCTCTTCTTAACCCAACAGCCAAATGTTCTCCTCTCCAGCCTCGTTCTCTGGCTTTTCTTTCCTTTGGGTCTTTGTTTGGGTTGCAGGTATTGGAAGACAGAGGAAAGGAATCACCCACTCACTGCTCACTGCTCCTTTCTGTTGCCAACAGGGTCTCACTTTTCTCTACTGTTTTGATTTTTCCTGCTGTTTCTTTTTAAAGCAGTTGCTGTGCTTCTTCCTTAAGGCTACTTTGTTATCTCATTTCTGGTATGGCTCAGCCCTAGTTAATTCTTTGGCTCACCCCTCCCTTTGCCCCACCTCTGTCTTCTCAGAAAAACTGCCAATCCACACTCAGAAGGGGTAGCACTAAGGATACCCTCTCCCGCACTGATCTGGAGAGTAAGATACAGTTGTCAGCATGAAAAAGGGTCTTGACTGAATGTATCACAGTGGTGTAGCTTATGCTTAAGGATATTTCCTGGGCAGAGCCAGGAAAGGAACCTTCGGATCGTACAGCCTGACTGTTTGCCTTTGGGCCGAACAGCTCCCAACAGCATCCCCAACCAAGTCCGAGTATCATTCTTCAGATGCCTTA